TGGAGTTAGGGGTTTGGTTACTGGCTACCCTTGGTATTTGAAAGATTCTAACACGCTAGAGCTAGGAGAAACTGTAGAGATCATGTTGTCCAACTGCTTCATTTTACAGGTGAGGAAACTGAGTTTCAGAGAGTTAAAGTGAAATGCCCAAGGTCACACTATAGTTTATAGGTCTAGAACCTAGGTCTCCTTCCACTCAGTCCAGGACCTTTTCTACTGCACCTGCTACCACTGCTGATGTTAGGGGAAAAAACCCAGTATTATCTTACATATTTTGAATATGGGTATTTTTTTCAGGTATTGAAGAATGGCCATAATCAACTAAATATAATGCTTCCTAGATGAAATACAATATTATATTAATGTTCACAGGTGAAATATTCTGGAATAATTAATTTATTTCAACCAATTTACCTTTGAAGGGAGGGAATTGGAACAACTTTAGTATGTAGTCACCACAATTTTTAAAAAGTTCAGTTTGGTATGGAAGATTTGAAAAGAGCCAGTTTTTCATGCTCTTTAATTCTTTCTTTCTTTTCTTTTTTTTTTAATTCCAGATCAAATCAACCTGTGGTGGCATTTAGTTCATATTTCTGCAGGAGACCCAAGGCACATCATATCCATTTTCTTTTATATAATCACGTCATATATTTCAGTGTATGAGGGACTAAATATTTTGAATTTAGACTAGAAGAGCCAGTAAATGTTTTTTGTAGTTATGCATTTCTGAAGCACCCTTGATCTGTTTGATTTGTATATTTTTTTGATGTTCTTGTGAGAAAAACAATAAATTTTCAAATACATTTTTTTTCATTTGAATAAGAGCCTATAGATTTCTTTCCCTGTATCCTTCAGGCGGATTTCCCTGGGGAGTCATTATCATGCAGCTCACATTGTCACTCACCTACACTGGTGAACTTGCTATCAAATAACCTGCAAAACATTCGAAGTTATTATGTGTCATAGGGCAGATTTATGATAAACTCACTTTGAAACAAAATAATGAATTCTTGACATTTATCCTGTTTCTAATAACATTGTTGCTAATTTCATCAGATTTAATTTTAAACCAGGAAGTTACATTTCCTTTTGTTATATCATATAGAAGCTCCTCAAATAGCTCCCTTGTTAAATATGGCCCACGATTCCATGAATTCTGCCTAGAAAGGGTGAAAATGAGAGCATTTGTCTTTAAGCTAACCAAGCTGATCTCCAGAGTTCATTATGACCCATGCTTCTAATTAAATTTTGGAAACATTTTGTGCATATTGAAACAAAAATCTTTTCAGTTTGATTCAGTAAGTACTGATTAAGCATCTACTATATGCAAGGCGATGTAATAAAGGCAGGGGTTACAAAGATGAAGACATTGCAGTCCCTTTCCTCAAGCAGACTACACTCTAGATGACATATACATAAATGCTGTGGTATAAAAAAGAACACGAAAGGCACCAAGTTCTATGCCATATCCATGGAGACAGAGAGTGTTTCTAAGCCAAGGTGAGCAGTGAAGAGTTCATGGAAGAGAACATTTGGGCGGTGGCCTCGATGGATTTTAATAGATGGAGTTGGGGTAGGAGAGGTCATTCCAGGGATGGGAGAGAGAAAATGAACAAACAGATGTGGGAAAGAATGGGATGAATTTGGGAAATCACAATTAACACAGTTTGTTAGAGTTAATAGAGTATGTGAGATGGAATAATAGAAGCTACAATTGGAAAAGTAGGGTTGGGATTACGTTTTATTTTGGGGGGTTGAATGAGAAGTTGAGGAATTTAGTCAATGGGGAAACTATTAAACATTTTCCAGCAGGAGAGCGACATGATCAGAGGTGTGTATTGGGGAAATCATTCTGGCATTGTTATGACAATAGTTCAGTTTCTTCTACCAGTTTTCTGGGACAATGATTTTTTAAGTACTTTTTTTTTTACAAGCATTTATTATGTCTTTGCTCATTCCCCCCGCTTGATTTTTTTAAAAAAGAAAATCCTTTGAAAAATATGCATAGTCCAGCAAAAAAAAAATCCCATATCAATCATGTCTAAAGATATATGTCTCCTTTTGCATTTTAATTCTATCATGTCTGTGGCAGGAGGTGGGTAACATGCTTCATCTTTGGTCCTCTGGAACTGTGGTTTATCATGGCATTGATCAGAGTTCTAAAGTCTTTCAAAGTTACTTTTCTTTTTTTAAAATTAATTTATTTTTAGTTTTCAACAATCACCTCCATAAGCTTTTGAGTTTTAAATTTTCTCCCCCTATCTCCCCACCTCCCTACCCAAGAAGGCATGCAATCTGATATAGGCTTTATATATATATATTCCTATTAAACATGTTTTCACATTAGTCATGTTGTAAAGAAGAATTAGAACCAATAGGAGGAACCACAAGAAAGAAGAAACAAAACAAAACAAAACAAGAAAAAAAAGAGCAAATAGTGTGCTTCGATCTGCATTCAGACTCCATAGTTCTTTCTCTGGATGTGGGCAGCATTTTCCATCATGAGACTTTTGGAGATGTCTTTGATCCTTGTGTTGCTGAGAAGAGCTAAATCTATCAAAGTTAGTCATTGTACAATGTAGCTGTTACTGAGTACAATGTTCTCCTGGTTCTCTTCACTTCACTCAGCATCAGTCCATACAAGTCTTTCCAGGTTTTTCTGAAGTCCGCCTGTTCATCATTACTTATAGCACAATAGTATTCCATTACATTCACATACCACAACCTGTTCAGTCATTTCCCAACATATGGGCATCCCCTCAATTTCCAATTCTTTGCCACCAGAGAAAGAGCTACTATAAATGTTTTTGTACATGTGGGCCCTTTCAAAATTACTTTTCTTTATAATGCTGTTGTCATTGTATAAAGTGTTCTAATTCTGTTCACATCACTCGTACTAGTTCATAGAGATCTTCCCAGTTTCTTCTGAAATTGTCCATTTAATAATTTCTTATGGTACAATAATATTCCATTGCATTCATATACCGTGATTTACTTAACCATTCCCAATAAGTGGGTACCTCCTTAGTGTCCACTTTTTTTGATGCTATGAAAAGAGCTGCTATAAATATTTTTAAATATATAGGTTCTTTCCCTCTCTCTTTGATAGCTTTGGGGTGCAGGACTAGTAATGGTATTGCTGGGTCAGTGGTTATTGATGGTTTAGCGACGTTTGGGGAACAGTTCCAAATTGCTTTCCAGAATGCTTAGACCAGGGGCAGCTAGGTGGTGCAGTGGATAGAGCACTGGCCCTGAAGTCAGGAGGACCTGAGTTCAAATCCGGCTTCAGACCAAACACTTGACACTTACTAGCTGTGTGACCCTGGGCAAGTCACTTAACCCCAATTGCCTAAAAGACAAAAAAGAAAAACCCAAACCAAACCAGAATGCTTAGACCAGTTCACACCTTTACCAACAATGCAATAGTATGCTTGTGTTCCAGCAGCCCCTTCACCATTTGTTGTTTTCAGACAGGATCATAGTTGTGCAGCATGTTGGTAACATTGCTTTCTATCATTGTTTCTCTTTCTTTTCCGAGAATGATTGTCTCTGCTTCTACCTCAAACCCATCAGATTAGCAAAGATGATAAAAGAAGAAAATGACTTCTTATACCTCAAATGCACTATTAACAACTTGGTTGGTTTTGTTAGTCAAGCTCTTAAAGTCCTTGCAGTCTTCTCTTAATGAGCAAACCCCTCTGGAAGAGAGAACCCATTGAAGCCCCCCGAAACTTAGTGTGAATGAATTTTAAACTTGGGCAGCATGAGAGAGCTGGTGCCTATGTGAGAGACAAAGGGAAAAGTGAAAGAGGAATAAAAGGCAAGGAAGAAACGAGAGGCAACAGGCAGGACTCACCACGAACCCTATACTCTGGCACTGCCTTGATACTTTATCTTTGGACAAAGTCTAGGAGCTTTTTTCTTTTTTCTTTTGCTGTAGCATTTCCTTTTTGGTTATGTGACTTTTAATAATTGTCACCTGATTCTGGGTCAAAATGTTGCTGATCATTTCTTCCCTAGATAAGAAGAATGTATTTAAGATATATGGTCCAACTCTCAAGTGCTGCTTTTCTTACCTGTGTTTTAAATGTCTGGTCTGGGCTTAATATCCTGTGATGCTGCATGCATTTTGGTGCTGATGAAAATCTGACAGTGGTGGATGTGTCAATTAACAATCCATACGCATTTATTAAGTGACTACTATAGGCCAGGCATTATGCAAGGCATTAGGGATATAAAGTCAGAATTGAGAAGTCTGCCTTCAAGGAGCTTACAGTCTATTGAAGGAGACAAACATGTACATATATACGTGTCCGCAAAGTAGATACGAGGTCATTTTTTGGAAGGAAGGCACTAGTCAGTCAGTTAACAAGCACTTAACTTACTATGTTCTGGGTATTGTGCTAAGCACTAGAATATGAAGGGGGTGGGTAATGATTCCAACCCTTAAGGGGCTCACATTTTTTTAAGGCAGTTGGGGTTAAGTGATTTGCCCAGGGTCACACAGCTAGTAAGTGTCTGAGGCCAGATTTGAAATCAGGTCCTTCTGACTCCAGAGCTGGTGCTCTATCCACCATGCCACCTAGCTGCTCCACATTCTTTTTTTTTTAATGAGTTTTTATGTCTTATTTTTTATGTCATGATATCACTATCCCTTCCCATTCCAGGAAGCCAGCCCAGTATATACTGAAAAAATCAGTATAACAGTATGTACAATATGCAACACTTGTGGACTTTCCACTTCCATAAAAGGGCCAGCAAGGAGTCTTAATACATTTCTCCTTTCAGCCATGTCTGTGTGTGTGTGGTTATATCTGTTTACATTGTTTTAGTCATTGTGTTTATTATTTTCTTGGTTCTGCTTACTTTACTCTGCATCAGTTCATGTAGATCCTTCTGTGCCTCTCTGTACTCATCACATATAGCACAGTAATATTCTATTACATTTATGTACCATAATTTGGTCATTCCTCAGTTGATAGGCATCTGTTTTGTTTCAGGTTCTCAGCTATTACAAAAAGTGTTGTTATAAATATTTTGGTATATATGGAAACCTTCTTATCAGTGACTTCCTTGGGGCAGAAGTTTAGCAGTGCAGTCTCTGGGTCAAAAGGTATGTACGTTTTAGTCACTTTATTTGCATAATTCTGAATTGCTTTCCCAAATGGTTGTATTGATTCACAGCTCCATTAACTGTGTACCTATGTGCCTATCATTCCACAATCCCTCCAACACTGACTGTTCTCATCTTTTGTCATTTTTACCAATTTGCAAGGAATGAGGTGAAATTTCAAGGCTGTTTTGGTTTGTGTTTCTCTTATTAGTGATTTGGAGCATTCTTTCATGTGGTTGTTAATAGTTTGCATTTCTTTTGGGAGATGTTTGTTCATGTCTCTTGACCACTTATCTCTTAGAGAATGGCTTTTGGTCTTATAGATATATCTGGTGTTTTTATATCTTGAGTACCAAACCCTTATTAGAGAAATTTGATGCAAAGACGTTTCTCCCCATTTGAACACTTTGATTCTTATCCTAGGCGCATCAGTTTTTATCTATGCAGAAGGGTTTCAATTGCATGCAATCAGGTCATTGCTGTTACTGTGCACGTTTGACAAAGGACTTGTCTGAGGGTAAAACAATTGAATGTGACTTGGCTACAGTGCCACAGCTGGGAAGTGTCTGAAGTGAAATTTGATGTCAAGACTTCCTATTTGCAAGTCCTGGGCACTAACCCATCTAGTTGTCACCATTTTTTCCTCAACTATGTCATTTACCTTTAATTCAAATTCATGACATTTCTATGTCTTTGGATTCCATCAAGAGCCATAGGGTGGTCTTAATGAGACCTGTAAGAGAATTTCAGCCTTCTGGATTTTCCAAAGGCTAAAGAGTTAGAGCATGACGATTGTATGGATAACTTATATTTGGATGCCAAATCCAGGCTGGCAACCACTTCATCTAGGGTGTTCTCACCTTGTTCTTGGCTTTTTTTTAATCATGCCTTGTCTGATCTCCCAAGCTAACATCTTTTGAATGGAGGAAGCAGGAATGCAGATTTCCAGGATAAAAGATGTAACAAAGCTTTCCAGGGTCATTTTAGTGTTCAGATATGGCATCTCTTTGCCTCTGCATATCTTTATGATAAAATGATTGCTTCATTTTATATTATCAGAACTGTTACTGTGATGATGTTTACAGTCTTCTTCTTGTGGTCCAATTGCATAAGGCACCACTAGGCTTACTTTTGAAAAGTAAGCTTGCATAGTTCATTTTTAAAGCTAATTCTGGAAGTTAGAGTTGGGAGAAGTGAGAGTGGCTGACAACACAAGAAGTTCATCTTCAAACTTCGAACTACCATCTCCCCTAATCTGGCCTCCCTTCAATCACCCCTCATTTCTCTTATCCCCTCCCCCTCCTACTTTCCTGTAGGGTAAGATAGATTTCTGTATCCAACTGAGTGTATATGTTATTCCCTCTTCGAGCCAGTTCCAATGAGAGTAAGATTTGAGTGCTTTCCCTCACCTCTCTCATCTTCCCCTCCACTGTAAAAGCTCTTTTGTACTTCTTTCATGTGAGATAATTTACTCCATTCTACCTATTCTTTTCCCCTTTTTCCAGTTCATTACTGTTTCTCACCCCTTAATTTTATTTTTTTAGATATCATCCCATCATATTCAGCTCACACCCATGCCCTCTGTCTATGTATACTTCTTTTGACTGCACTAATAATGATAAAATTCTTAGAAGTTATAAGTATCATCCTCCCCTATGGAAATGTGAACAGTATAACCTTATTTTGAAGCTCCTTTGCCCTCCAGAATATAATATTCCAACCCTTCTAATACTTTAATGTAGAAGCTGCTAAATCTTGTGTGATCCTCACTGTGGCTCCATGATATTTGAATTACTTTCTTTCTGGGTGCTTGCAATATTTTCTCCTTGACCCAGGAGCTCTGGAATTTGGCTGTAATTTTCCTGGGACTTTTCCTTTGGGGATCTCTTTCCAGAAGTGATCAGTAGATTCTTTCAATTTCTATTTTGCCTCTGATTCTACAATATCACTTTTCCTTAATAATTTCTTGGAATATGATGCCTAAGCTCTTTTTTCGATCATGGCTTTCAGGTAGTCCAATAATTCTTTAATTATTCTCCTGGACCTATTTTCCAGGTCAGTTGTTTTTCCAATGAAATATTCTCCATTTTCTTCTATTTTTCATCCTTTTGATTTTTTTTTTATATCATTTCTTGGTGCTCCATTAGCTTCCACTTGTCCAATTCTAATTTTTAAGGAATTATTTTCTTCTGTGAGCTTTTGTATCTTCTTTTCCATTTGACCAATTCTGCTTTTTAAGGAGTTCTTCCGGGGGACAGCTAGATGACACAGTGGATAGAGCACTGGCCCTGGAGTCAGGAGGGCCTGAGTTCAAATCCGGCCTCAGATCAAACACTTGACACTTACTGGCTGTGTGACCCTGGGCAAGTCACTTAACCCCAATTGCCTAAAAAGTAAAAAAAAATTTAAAAAATTAAAAAAAAATAAGGCGTTCTTCCCTTCAGTGGATTTTTGTATCTCTTTTACCATTTGGCCTATTCTGTTTTTCAAGGTATTGTTTTGTTTAGTATTTTTTGTGCCTTCTTTACTAAGCTTTGACTTCCCCCCCCCCTTGATTTTCTTGTATCACTCTTATTGATTTTCCCAGTTTTCCTTCTATCTCTCTTATTTGATTTTTAAAATCTTTTTAGAGCTCTTTCAGGAATTCTTTGTCGGTCCTGAGACCAATTCACATTTTTCTTTGAGGTTTTAGATGTAGCAGTTTTGACATTGTTGTCTTCTTCTGAGTTTGTGCTTTGATCTTTCCTGTCACCATAATAATGTTCTATATTCTATATTAACATTCTATATTCTATGTTTGTTCATTTTTCCAGCCTATTTCTTGACACAACTTAATGTTAAATTTGAGCTGTACTTCCAGGGTGGAGGGGTCACTATCCCAAGCTTCAGGTTTTTTTGTGTGTATAGCGGTTTTCAGAGCTAGTTCTAGGAGCATCTGTAAGTTTTAAGTTCTTCTAAGGTAATATAATCTAAGGAGAGGTATATTTACTACTCTTCTGGCCTGTGCTCTGGGCTGGCCTGTATAGGCAATGCAACAGAGTCCTGCTCTCCAGTGCTAGCAAAAGGACCTCTGTAATCTCCTTCTGACCAGTTGTTTGTGGGCTGAGAGCTTCACAAGCCACTGCTGCCAATTGCCTGCGCTGAATTGGGCTCCACTCTCAACCAGGTGCAACAGACCTTTTCTGCTGACTCTCTAAGTTGTCTTAGGCTAGAAAATTGTTTCACCCAGTCCTTTTGTGAGTTCTGCCATTCCTGAATTCTTTTTGAGTCATCATTTAAAGTTGTTTGGAGAGGAACCCTGCCTTTTCTCTGCCGTCTTGGCTCCCTGGGTTTGTTTTTTGGAATCAGGGGAGAAACCAGTAGATAGGGAGAGATTGAAGATTAGGGAAAGAGAAGACAGGATTGTGGGTTCAATCTGCTATAATGGAATTGAATCAAGAAGGTATTTATATAGAGGGGATGGCCTTGGTAAGGAGAATGGCCACCTCTTTACCAAAAACTGAAATTGAGGAAGAGAGAATGGGGCGTGATGGCCAATAGTTGTGATATATAGAGAAGAAGGTATCTTCAGAGGCTTGAGGAAAGTTTGGAACAGTTGTTGTGGGGGTTGGCATAGGTAATATCCCAGATATATTTGTTTTTCCTGGCTGGCATGCAGACATAGCTGAGCATTTGATATGTAAGCTTGAATTTTGTACATCTATGACCCATTTATTCATAAGTGCTTATTAAATACCTACTGTGTACAGAGTAGCATTCTAGGTGCTAGGGGAGAAAACAAAATGATGAATGATACAGAATCCCTCCTCTTAAGGAACCTAAAGTTTGATAGAAGAGATGATGTTCATTTTATGAAACAAATGCCTTTTAATCCATGCTAGAGTCTAAGCTCTTGGAGAGCCAGGCGCATATCTTACTTATCCTTATATTTGAACAGATAACATTCAGTGCCTCAGTGAGTCTGTAATCTTGGTTATTCTTTTCAATGTTCCTCTATAAATCCTCTACAGAGAGCCTACTCTATGGGCTGGAAGCCTTCCTATACATCTCTTGATCTGACATGGGCACCAGTAGGGCTTGCAGAATATTCATCTGTTGTCCCTTACTCCCGCCATGTCACCAGCTCACTCCCTACCGTGGTGATATGTTTCTTTGATGTTGCTTTTGATGTTGCTTTTTGTGTACAATTCATTATGGGTAACATGTTACAACCCTCCTTAGGACTCTCTATCACCTTGGGACTTGCCTTTTGAGTGACCCACAGTTTTGATTATTGAAAATATGGTAGTATTCCATGATTACCAGCTATATAATTTCATTGTAAGAATATTTATATTAAAAAGATAGAATATTGTTATGTTGTTTCAGGGAGAAGCCTAGGATCGCTGAAAGAACTGTGTAGTTTCTCCTCTTGGGTTGTGGGTCCAGTTTGCTGTCTTCTTCCAGTATCTATCCAAGATTACAGATTTATGACCCAGCCCTAGGGGCTGTCCAGTCATAGGATAATAGACATTCTTCATCCACATTTCTTTGTCTGCCGATGGTCAGGCCAAATTCTCTGAGTAATTATGGAGGTTTTACAGTGTTTCAGTGCCTGATGCAATTAGCACAGTCACATTTGCCAACATGAGAATTGTGGGGACCTCACCCTCTTAGAGAATCCCTATTCCAGTTCCCTGTTTTATCACCTTTGTTGAGTAAAGAATCTTGGATGATCTTATCATCGTAATGGGACACATGCTTAAACTGAGTCTTGAAGGAAAGCAGGGACTTTAGGAGATGAAGGTAAAGGGGGAGATTATTCCAGGAATAAGGGACAAAATTTGCGTGTGCCAAATAGCAAGAAGGACACCGAGGACCAACTGAGTGTAGAGTGGGTCATCTAGAGCCAGAGGCCACCGACCTCATCAGGAGGATGAATTGTTTTTGGCCATCACAACTGAAGTGAGAGTGTCTACATGGAAAGGTTGTGATCTCCATAAGTGGCAGGAATACCTATG